ACCTAAGACCATCGGAAAATACATATTTCCGATGGTCTTAGGAACCGAAACACCGCTCCTCTATCCATCTCCAGGCGGGTCTGCCCACATGCAGATACGCCCACATACCAGTACCCAGCATGATGACATCATTGCGCCAACCCCATCACATACACCCCGTACAAATACAGGTGTATGTGACAGGGTTGGCGCCATAATGTACTTATGCGGACCAGTCACACGTGTATAGAGAGCAGCTACTGTGTAGAAAGCAGCTACTCTGTTAAAAGCAGCTACTATGTTGAAAGCAGCAGTATTGGAGGTAAAACAACACTTCATGAATTATAATTACTGGGTAAATGTAAAATCATGTACTGTAAAATCAACTACTGGAAAAAAAAAATCTGTACCATGGGAACTTAATCTGGATGCTGATCTGTCTTTTTATATTCAGCTGTGGTTGATGTGAATACTGCCCCCTTGTGATAGTAACAGGTATGTAAAAACAACAACACAGAGAATGGTAAATCATAGGAAACTTTAATGAACTGTATTGACTGAACTACGCCATGTATCATCTTTTGTATTATTAAAGCTATTGTTATATATTATTTTCATTAGCAAACCATCCCATGACAATGGATCGTGTAGAGAAGAATGTTAAGAAAATAAAATATAGTGAGGATTTTTTACAGTATGGTTTTACCTCAATAATTACAGCAGGAATTGAGAAACCGCAATGTGTTATTTGTTGTGACGTTCTATCAGCCGAATCTATGAAGCCAAACAAACTAAAATGCCATTTTGATAGCAAGCATCCGAGCTTTGCCGGCAAGGATACCAACTATTTTAGAAGCAAAGCTGATGGACTCAAGAAAGCCAGACTTGACACTGGTGAAGCTTCATATTTGGTGGCACTCAGAATCGCCAGAGCTATGAAACCTCACACCATTGCTGAGGATTTACTGTTGCCAGCGGCCAAAGACATTGTTCAAGTTATGATCGGAGACGAATTTGTTACGAAATTGAGTGCAATTTCCTTATCTAGTGACACTCTCCGCAGAAGAATAGATGACTTGTCTGCTGATATTCTTGATCAGGTAATCCAAGAAATTAAATCTGCTCCACTTCCAATATTTAGTATCCAGCTTGATGAATCTACAGACGTTGCAAACTGTTCACAGTTACTGGTTTACGTGAGGTATATTAATGATGGCGACTTTAAAGATGAGTTTCTTTGAGCAAACCTCTTGAAACGACAAGTGAGATGGTTGTCGAGAGGAAAAGTTTTAAAACGTGTTTTTGAGCTTCTTGATGAACTCAAAACGTTTTTTAATCAGAAAGCAAGACCGCAGTTCGAAGCACTTTTCAGTGATAAAAGTGAACTGCAGAAAATAGCTTGCTTGGTTGACATCTTTGCCATCTTGAATGAGTTAAATTTATCATTGCAAGGACCAAATGCAACGTGCCTCGATTTATCTGAAAAGATCCGATCATTCCAAATGAAACTTCAGCTTTGACAAAAAAAATTGGATGAAAATAAAATTTACATGTTGCCTACCTTATCTGCTTTCTTTGGAGGAACATGACATTGAACCAGACAAAAGGATTACGATGATAATTTCTGTGAAAGAACACTTGCACATGCTTGCAGACGAAATTTCATCGTACTTTCCAAATCTACCTGACACTCCATTTGCACTTGCCAGAAGCCCATTCACAGTCAAAGTTGAAAATGTTCCTGAGACAGCACAAGAGGAGTTCATTGAACTTATTAACAGCGATGCAGCGAGAACTGATTTCTCTACAATGCCAGTTACAAAATTCTGGATCAAGTGTTTGCAGTCATATCCTGTTCTGTCTGAGACTGTGTTGCGCCTTCTTCTTCCATTTCCAACAACATATCTTTGTGAAACAGGGTTTTCCAGCTTCTTGGTTATCAGGTCTAAATACAGAAGTAGACTTGTTGTGGAAGATGATCTTCGTTGTGCTCTTGCAAAGACTGCCCCGAGAATTTCTGATCTGGTGAGAAAGAAGCAGTCTCAATCTTCGCACTGATGTTGGCTTTTTACGCATACTGTCGCAAAATGTAGCAATGTAGTTTACTGTTGTTATATTAAGACTGTTACCCATGCTACACCATGCATCAAGACAAAATTTCATTTATTTGTAATTAGAAATAAATATTTCACAATATATAATTACATATTGTTTTTGTGATTAATCACTATGCTTTAATTATGTTCAATTTGTAACAATGAAAATACATCCTGCATATCAGATATTTACATTACGATTCATAACAGTAGCAAAATTACAGTTATGAAGTAGCAACGAAAATAATGTTATGGTTGGGGGTCACCACAACATGAGGAACTGTATTAAAGGGTCACGGCATTATTAAGGTTGAGAACCACTGCTTTAGAGCTTACAAGGTTAATACTGTGACTGAATCTGGATGTTCTGCTTCGGATACCATGAAGCCCCCTCCTCCCAGAAGGTAACCAGGAAAGTGTCCAAGTGCCAATCCAAGTGTCAATCCAGACAGTGTTAACAGAATAACAGGATTGGAAGGGACCTTGGAGGTCTTCTAGTCCACCTCCCCCATACCATTCCAAACAAATGGCTCTCCAGACTCTTCTTGATAACCTCAAATCAGGAAATTTCTCCTTAGTTCCAGGTTGCTTGTCTTCTTGATTAGTTTCCATCTGTTGCTTCTTGTCTTGAATTCCGTTGCTTTGGAGAATAGGCTGACCCCCTTGTCTTTATGGCAGCCCCTCAACTACTGGAAGACTGCTATCATGTCACCCCTGGTCCTTCTTGTCACTAGATCAGACATACCCAATTCCTGCAACCGTTCTTTATCTGTTGTAGCCTCCAATCCCCTAAACATCTTTGTTGCTCTTTCTGCATTCAGTCTAGAGGCTCAACATCTTTCTATAGCATGGCGACCAAAACTGGATGCAATATTCCAAGTGTGATCGTACAAGGCATTATAAAGTGGTACTAACACTTCACGTGATCTTGATTCTATCCCTCTGTTAATGCAGTCCAGGACTGCATTGGCTTTCTTGATGGCTGCAGCACACTGCTGGCTGATATTTAAATAGTTGTCCACTAGGACGCTTGGATCACTCTCACAGTTACTGTTACTGCTGTTGAACCAGGTTCCACCTATTCTATACCTGTACATTTGATTTTACCTGCCTAAGTGTAAAACCTTACTTTTCTCACTATTGAATTTCATTTTGTTAGATAGGACCCGGTGTTCATGTTTGTCGAGATCTTTCTTGGTATCATCTGCAAATTTGATGAGTTCCCCTTCTAACTCTTCATCTAAATCATTTATAAAGATATTGAAGGGTACTGGGCTTAAGCAGGAACTTTGGGGAACCCCATTGTGTATTTCTCTGTATGTAGATAAGGACTACACATTGAGTTCGATTGATAAGCCACATGAATCTGACTCTAACCTACCTTTTTCTATCTTATCAAGAAGAAGGTTGTGGTCTACTTTGTCAAGTGCCTTTCTGAAGTCCAAGTAAATTGTGTCCACAGCATTTCAGTCACTAATTTAGTCACTTTGTCAAAGAATGCAATAAGATTTGTCTGGCATGATCTGTGTTTGACAAACCCATGTTGGCTTCGGGTTATAACTTTGCTTGCTTGATCACGTGAAGTATTAATACCACTTTACAAGGCCTTGGTAAGGCCACACTTGGAATACTGCATCCAGTTTTGGTCACCACGATGTAAAAAAGATGTTGAGACTCTAGAAAGAGTACAGAGAAGAGCAACAAAGATGATCAGGGGACTGGAGGCTAAAACATATAAGGAACGTTTGCTGGAATTGGGTATGTCTAGTTTAACAAAGAGAAGGACCAGGGGTGACATGATAGCAGTCTTCTAGTATCTCAGGGGCTGCCACAAAGAAGAGGGAGTCAAGCTATTCTCCAAGGCACCTGAAGGCAGGACAAGAAGCAACGGATGGAAACTAATCAAGGAGAGAAGCAACCTAGAACTAAGGAGAAACTTCCTGACAGTTAGAACAATTAACCAGTGGAACAACCTGCCTCCAGAAGCGGTGAATGCTTCAACATGGAAGTTTTTAAGAAGAGACTGGACAGCCATTCATCTGAAATGGTATAGGGTTTCCTGCCTGAGCAGGGGGTTGGACTAGATGACCTCCAAGGTCCCTTCCAACTTTATCATTATTATTATTATTATTATCTTTTCCAGCATTTTCCTGGGTATTGATGTCATGTTGCTTATTCTGTAGTTTCCTGGATCCATTTTTTCCCTCTTTTGAAGATGAAAATCATGTCAGCTCTTTTCTAGTCCTCTGGTAGTTCCCTGATGCTCCATTACATCCATTACCAATTATGTTGTATGATTGCAACCATAAATGTATTTTGCCCACTTTGATATTCCTGCCTTGTCACCTGATACTTTGCTGGGTATAAAGTACAGACTTTTAAAGACTGGATAAACTATTTAAGAGGGGTGCCTTGCATTTTCATCATAAGCTAGTTAATTGTGGGGTAAATAGGGTTCTTCCAGATGAATCTACCCTAATCATAATTTCCTACAATTCTGATTTGTTTCATAAACCTCTGATCTTTAAAATGGGAATGCCCCAACTAATACTAGGAGCATCTTTCGAGAGTGGATCCATGGGGTGATTTCAACATTTTGCAATTAAAACAGAAGGCTTGGCTAACCTTAACATTGCTAGGGGCAGGACAAAGTGCCACACCAACTTGGGTGACTCTTTCAGGATTCCTTCCCTGACCATTTTTTTTCCCCTCTTCAGGTTTTTCCTCACAGATGGAAACTTGGCGAGTGAGAAATAGTGACTCTTTGTCTTCCTCGTAGCTGGTGCATCTAATGGATCCTCATAGCAGACAATGGAGCATCTCTCAAGCGATGGGCCCCAAATCCTGCAGCCCAAGGAGGACAGCTGCTCCGCCAGGAAAGAGGCAGGCAACAGTGGGGACCATCTCTCCAAGGACCCACAGGAAATGAAGCTCCCCTTTCCCAGTGATCCTTTCAGACTGCAGTTAGGAGGATCCCAAGCCCCAACTGGGCTCAGGTCATTTACCCCAAAGCCTCCCCGTAAACCGAGGCTGGAGCGGACGTCGTCTCTGGATGAGCTGATCTGGCAGCGGCGGAGGAGGCCTTTCAGAATGAATCAGGAGAATTCGCTTGACTCAACTGAGGGGGGGTCCTCCGATGGGTCTTTCCAGGAAGACAGCCCCACCAAGCAGGATGTCGTCTCCAGTGGCCACCACCACCCTCGACAGCCTCGGCACAACTTGCACCCGGGCTCCAACGGTCCCCCCATCAGCCAAAGCAGACCCAGCCTTTCAGCTTCGCCCAGGAACTTGTCCCAGGTCTTGGCCTCCCGGCCTCCCCCTCCTCTGGAACTTGAAGGCTCCTTCCCTTCCCTGAGGACGAGTAATAGGATTGACCCAGATTGTGCGGAGTACACGTTCGGCTCCCCGCGGGTGTTTCCAAGAGCGAGCAGCAGCTGGAGCGACACGCAGCTTCAGAGCCGTGGGATGGCCTGCGAACACTGCTTGACTGCCTCCGCGAAATCGACGTTCAGCCTGCTGGCCCCCATCCGTGTCACCGATGTGCGAAACAGGTAACGGGTATCTTGGGGCAGGGAGACCATACGGGTGACGCTCACTCATTCCAATACGGACGTTGCCCTTGCGGTCCTTTGAAGACAAATTCTTCTTTGTTGAAGGACATCTTCATGCCGAATGGGGAAAGCGAGGGGAGGGGGGACTTCAGCAGCAACTTGCAACCACAGTCAATATTATTGGGAAATCCCTGTCCGTTTTCAGTGTATAACTTTTAGATAATAAGGTTTTGCTTATTTTCCTTTAGAACAGACATGTCAAACGCAAGGCCGGGGGGGGGCCGGATGCGGCCCGCGAAGTGGTTTCATGTGGCCCGCGAAGCCATCTTGGAAACAGTGAGGGAACGGCCCCCTCTGCCTTGGCCCTGGCCCAGGCCGGCCGGGAGCCAATGTACAATTTTGTGGTGGCCATCTATGCTGAAACGCATTCAGCCTTAGCTCCACAAGGCTGTCCGGAAACAGCGAGGAACCAGCCCCTGCCGCATCGGCCTCGCCCCCTGGGTGCATGCTGGGGAGGGGTCAGCCTTTGTGAGGAATGAAGAAATGGACCATCGCCTTGGCGCTTGCCCCGGTCCCCCCCCCTTCTGCCAGAGACCCTCAGATCTGTCCCACTCCTGCCCAGGCCCCCACAGGCACCCTTGACAGGAACGATGTAGAGCTGTCCACGCCTACCCAGCAGGCCACACCCACTCCATCCACGCCCACCCACTAGGCCGCGCCCACCCTGGCCACCCACCCCCCAAGGGCAACCGCAATGCTGATGCGGCCCTCAATGAAATTGAGTTTGACACCCCTGCTTTAGAAAGTTGTCTGTCTGCGCATAGTGCTGCTTACTGAATCACACACTGCTCTGCTCTGCCTTCCCAGCCCAACTGCTTTGGCATAAAAAGAAGGATCTTTAGCTCAGGTTCAGCCTTGGAGTTGCCAACAGAAGAATATGGAAGCACGTGACGAGGAAGCCCCTGCTGCTGTTCTGCATCATGTGCTCCCGGGGAAGACGCTGGTTCATATTTATCAGGAATAATAACACTTTTGAGTCTTGAGAAGGGAGAAATCCATTGTAAAATGACTGTTGCATCAGTGAGGTCTGTGTAGCCTCCCTGTCTAGGAACCACTGACTGTGGGATTGATTGGCAGCCCTTCCCTCTCTAAAATGGAGGCAAAGTCCTAGAGAGGCTTCTGGATAACAGGAGGGCAGGAGGCTATTTCAATGGCTGGTTGAGATAGAAAACCAGCAGAAATGAGCTCTGTGTGTGTGTGTGAGAACTTGTTCATCCTGGAATAATTCTGATTGCATCACAGTGCATTTTTTCTTGGGTTTCCCCCCCCCCCCCCCCCCCCCC